CCCATACATAGTATCTTTCTGATGAAAAATGAACGAATATGCACAACTTTGTGAAACCGGTAAAAACCGGCCGGTCCAACTCACTCAACCGGTCCGGTACGGCCGGACCGGACCGGTTACAACTCTGGTTTAAAATGACCTAAAGCACATCATTTCAAACTAATAACTTTACAGAGTTATTTGTCGAACATTGTCCATGACTACATGCTTCCCGTATATGTAACACTCATTTAATACAATAAAATGGCTATAGTTTGTCAGCACGCTCAAACTCGGAATGGTTTATACATAGAAAAATGTATAATTGAACTATCTACAAAATGAGCTATGATACATTATTTTACAAGTTTGTCTCCATTGATGTATTGGACAAATACTTGACAGATATGTCAATTTTTTACTAATAGTGGCACATAAAAATGATTATAGTTTCTTCTACCAACAAATATTAGCCATGGTTTCTACATGGAAAAATGCAGAATTAAAAGGGCTATACAATGAGCTATAACACATTCTTTAAAATGCTAAGTTTGTTAGACTTATGGGCAAGATAATGAAAGACATATTTTTCATGTTTTCTGATTAATTTTGGTGACATACGGCATTTTTCAAATGGAAAACTGTTTGATGAATCAGTGTTGTAGAAAGCTGAGAGACGCCTTCATTTGTTCCGTAATGTTTTATGTACAAAACGAAGCTGTTACAAGAAAAATATCACACGAATTCCGAGATTTAGTTTTCTAGGGTTTAGATTTTCTAGAAATCTGATCCCAAAAATGTTAATGAAACCTTTATTTACCACGAAGTAGATCAGAAACTCCTTGACTCATGAAAATCTTTTTTCAGATTTATTATAGCTATTATCTTCGAGTGGAAAAGTGAAAATATACGCGGTTTAATAGTTTCGAGAACCATTATAGTTGGCGCTAAGTGAGTAGCGGTTATTCTCGTTGAATGAAGCGAAGTGCTTTTGAACTGCAGGAATTTTTCCGAAGAAAAGGTAGCATCTAGCATGATCCTTGATGATTGAAAACCTTTTTAGAGCATATAGGTACGCTTCGCCTGGTTTTTCGAGTGCACTTGGAGCGAGTATAGTCCTCTTTTGTTGCTTAATTATACAAGATAAATCACCCTAAATGGCAATTCTTCGTCGTATGAGCAGCATATGAGAAAATATAGTTCCACAAAAGAGATCAAAGGTACCGCTTATCTTTTGATCTTATAATTTTTCATTTTCCTTATTCGAGTACCATGACTTTTCGACTTTCTCTACTTTCACTTCGGGCCACGATAGTTAAATAGAACGTTAGCAAGCTTTTTCCCGTTATTTCTGAGGATTCTCAGCATCTTATAAAAGTGCCTCCTGAACATGCAATGAGACTAATGTTTTGATTTGCTCTATGTCCTTTTCTTTTCTCAACTTTATATTTTATATCGAGCAGTTAGAACTTCTGCTATACAGTTTGTTCATCCACTTTGCAAATACCGAGGACATGTCAGGCAATGACCGTCTCAAGAAAATCAAGACAATCATGAATAACTTCGAGCTGAATTTTTCAAACAGTGCCAATCCAACACCAGATCTTTGTATTGATGAAAGTTTCATGTTATGGAAAGGTAGACTTGGATTTAAACAATATATTCTATCCAAGCGTCACCGATTTGGAATCAAATTATCCGAGAGGGTTGATTGCCAAACTAAATTTGTCCTTGACTTCATCATTTACATAGGATCAAGTACAGAGTTTCAAAATACACCTGGGCTTGGAATAAGTGGATCAATTGTGACGAAACTAATGCAGCGTTATTTGAAAAAAGGGCGCAACGTTAACAATTGGTATACGAGTGCGGCACTGTTACGCTGTTACATCGAGATAGAACAGGTTCATGTGATACTGTTCGTAAAAATAGACAAGGATTGCCACAACTTACAGCGAGATTGAGAAGAGGAGAGTAGCAATGTTCTCATACCAGTATTTTGCTTGCAGTCAAATGGTAGGACACACGGAGGTCCAATGCTTTCAACCATCCATTCACCAATATATGCAAATTTGGGCAAAAAGATCGCACAGTGTAGATGGGTTTGCAAAATACCCCGTGAACTATTTTACGTCCGGCTCATGTTTAATAAATTCAAAAGTTGACAATGCATTCGTATTCTTCAACAAATTTTTCTTTGTTTGTAGCCTAGAAAGTCAACGTTTGTCTGCTTGCCTGTGGCATATTTTCATCTGAAAACATGTAGGCAAGTTCACAACCATACGGATATAGAAAATACAGTTCGCAACATCCTTTTTATGATGAAATTAAAAAAGTTCATCCAGGCAACGAGTTATTGAAATCTGTTGAATCACAAGTATTTAGATTCAGTAAATAATTATTTAAATGACACATTCTACTTGTTTTGTTTTGTATATATAGCCGCCAACAAAACCTTTGGATGATACAACATTTTTTTATGTTGATAAAAATTAACGAGTTGAAAAATATGATGGACGATCTTACAGAACAACAGGAAGTGACTGTTGATTATGAGGTATAGAAAGCCATTGTGGTCTCCTTGTTTATTACTTGTTGTTTATATCTTTAGAGGCATGGTTATCGTTCATATCTAGTCTTCATTTGTCTCTTACAGCTATCAACGCGCTCAGATGACTATCTTGTGGATACATTGCTGCTAAGAGATGAACTGCATGTAAATTTATTAAATACTGTATTTATGAACCCAAAAATATTAGAAGTGAGCACAAATCCTAAATAGAACATTTTGAGCCACCAGCTATGAAGTATTTTATTATCGATTATAAACTCCTGATTTGTAGTACACAGAAGTACCTCTAAGATTACGGTCTTCTTTGGTGAATAAATACACAAAGTAAAACAAGTAGAATGTGTCATTTAACTAACTATTCATTGAATATAAATACTTGTGATTCAGGAGGTTTCAATAACTCGCTGCCTGGTTGAACTTTTTTAATTTCATCATAAAAAGGATGTTGCGACTTGTATTTTCTATATCCGTATGATTGTGTATGATTCACACAGTCAAAAATATGGTCATCATAGTATTTCACGCAGGTACATCTGATATTCAATGGGTATACAATTTTGGTTTATATGTTATAAATATGTTTGACACATATCATGCAGCTGAAGAATTAAATTTTAATTTAATCCATGAATCGCCACGAAACGTCGACTATCCGCGCCTGTCACGTTAGGTTTGATTGATCATCAACGAGGTCTGTCCACCTAACTTGACAGCCACGCATTACTCCTCGGTTACTTCTTTATCCGAGAAAAGTTGATTAGCTGTAGAATCATGTAAATAAGCAATCACAGAGGGTAAACGTACTTTTCCCTCTTTTCTACTGGATTTTTTTTGCTTCTTTCTTTATAGACTCAAAAAGTTGCATAAACAATAATAAACGACCACATTCACCATCAACCTCTAGACATCGTGCAGAGCAACAAGAATCTGAGAAGAAGAAGAAACACTATCCAGCCTACAAAAAGAAGAAAAGAAATCGCTCATCGCAATCAAACCCCAGAAAACAAAAAACAAGGTGCTAGCCAATGCGCGTCGTCCTAGTAGTGACTTTTGGTGCTGGTTACTTTAGTTTCGATTGATCCTCATCAAGATCAGCCGTCTCATTTGAAACGGATGCTCTGTTCTTTTTGCGTTGTATTTGTATCTCTCGTTGTTCGTTCTTCATTGTTTTGGCTTTCTCCTTCGATTGGAAATTTGCTGAAGATTGCTTTTAGTATTGTTATACTGCTGTTTTCTTGTTGTTTGTACTGTACAGAAAAACATGATTCAATATAAACAGGAGCAGCAGAAGCAGATTTGTTTTCTTATTATATTCATTGGTAGCCTTAATGTTAAATGATGCTGAAAAAATATTCATAGCATCGACACCCACTTGTGCTTAATTAGATATTTGGTAACCGTTTTCTTCTAAGGTACTTTTATCTTCTTGTGTTATGTAGATATTCTGTTGAGCAATACCACCTAATAGAACGTTAGTAATAAATGTATAACCGTAATATTCGAAAAAGGCCGTCCATCTAAGGCGTTCAAGCAAAAATGGTCCTGTTTTATTCTCAGCTCATGTCCTGATTACTACAGTTTTTCGTACAATTTTCGTAAACGTTTTGCCCTAGACTTCCAATCAAACAATGATTTCAATTTTCTATAAGGCAGCAGTCTGTCTAAAAAAACAGAGCCATCGACCACTTCTTAAAGGAATTGAGAACGAAAAGTGGTAGTGGCCTATGGCTTCACCACCGGATACCGAGGCCTTGGGACCTTCTTTCCACAGGTCAAATGAGCTTCAAAATCTCGATTGCGAATCCTTAGGACATTGGTTTACTAGATCAATGCATTTCTGCCGAGCTTCCGAGACACATTCTGATCACATTATTCCTCCACTTGATCAGACGGCTGAACAGACACTAATATAACACGTCTTTTTGTGGCATTTCGATGGCAAACCAATGTCCTGGATTCGATTGCCAGTCGAGGCGTATTTTTCATCCAACTGCTAAATGAGTTTTCAGTCACGGTTTACATTTCATTAAGTCTAACCATTTTCAAGTCTAAGTCAAGTCCAAATCCAACAGAATGTTTTTTTCGGCAAGTTCAAGTCAAATCCGAGTCTAGTTGAAGTCCAAGTTCGAGTCGAAGTTCTTCATAGCAGTTTCTGCACTGTACAGTACTTCATAACCATATATGACGCGTAAATAAATTTTATTCATAAACTGATGCGTGTTTGACAAAAAAAAGACTAATCAATTAGGTATCAGATTATACACGCATTCTGCTGTTGAATGTATACGATTTTCACTCTTTGGACTTCAAACGGACCTGATATAAACATCTGTCTGCACACTGTATACTACAAAACAAAAGTAGGAAACATAAAACAAAGACAACCATTATGTGAACAATCTTCCTTTGATTGAAAAACACCACATAATGAAAAGAAAACGATGTTTGGTGTGCAGTGAAGCGCAACAGTGTCTGTGCTGTGTGCACACTGATTTTGCTGCAATGAAAAACATGATTCAATATAAATAGGAGCAGCAGAAGCAGATTTGTTTTCTCATTATATTCATTGGTAGTCTTAAAGTTAAATGATGCTGAAAAAATATTCATAGCATCGACACCCACTTGTTCTTGATTAGATATTCAAATTCTTAAGCGGAAGATAGCACTCGGTTCAGGAATGCAAGTCATCCACTTTGATGTTTCATCAAAAAACGGGTAGCATCAAGAAAGGCATCCGCTTTTCTGGTTGACCAACACAGAAAAGTGCATGACCGATCACCCACTTTTCCGATGTTAGATTTTACAATGGCGACACAAGACTAGAGGATATTTAGTAGTCTGCAATTACTTCAATTCAATCAGTTATCGTAAAAAAACTTAAATTCCTTCACAATCAATGATCACGAGGGAAATTTCCTTTTTCAATATGAACTATGAACCATGAATACCGTTTGTTTCTACGAACGACACACTAATGCACTTAAAATGCAGACAAATGCGCACTACAGTACACGAGGAAATTCAGTATCATTAGCAGCAGGATACAAAATAATCTTAATAATCTTTTCGTTCAAAAAATCCAAATAAGATTGTATATACTATTCTTTCTTTCCAAATAAATTATTCTTTATTTTTCTGCAATCAGTACACGAAGCTGTTATAAAGCGGTTATTCACGGTTACAGTTAACCTTTCGACCGGTTATGATCACGCATGTGCACCGATAAAAAGTTTTCGGCGGCGACGCGAGGTTATGAAAATTTCCTCCACCATCGGCGCGTGTAAGAATTGGTTATCGGCGGCAAATATCATACTTTAAGTAGCACAACGCTCTCTTTCATTTCTTGCACGTTCTTCGCGCATCAACTGTATCTGTACATTGCCGTATACGAAAAGATAGAAACGCACTGCACTCTAAATGACAAAGGTAAGAACATACTACGAAAAACAGTCAAAATTTTTGGAAAAAAATCTCTGATTATGACCGATTACGGTTAACGATTAATAACCGTAGCCGTTGCATGCCTAATTACAAGAGTGTTAAAAGTTATAAAAAAAACATGACATAAACCGGAGTCTCTGACATGATTCACTTACTTTCTCTTGCCTTCTCTGCGTTTTGATCGAGTTCACTGGCTTTTCTTAAATAAGACTGAATTCAAACAGCAGAAAAATGATTCACGTCTAATTGAAATCATTTTCAGACACTCATTAAAGTTAAATATATTTTTCAGCACAAAGCTCTATCATTGGTAGAGCCCTGTCGGCTGGTTTTGGATGAACACAAATGTCGTTCGATGGAAGGAAGAAAACTATCAGAAATACTATGAAAGCAGCCTGAGATACATGTACTGGCATGTATCTTGCAGCAAAGCCTTTATAATAAATGATGAAGATGATAGAAGAAAATTCGAAGAACCTTGAAGAAAATACAAGAAAGGGAAGTTTGTCGACAGTGTGGGATAATTAAGGAAAAATCGAAACAGATATAGATGAAATTGAAAGAGTTAAAGGATTTTAGTATTTTAGATATTCATGAGGGTGAGCGTGATTTCTACGTATTTCATTTGTGAAGTTTGCTAGAAATTGAGGTGACTTTTTAGAATTTAATATAAGTAGTGAAATATGACTGACACCATCAGTACTCACTCGAATTTAGGTTACATGTAGTAAAGATCGAGATGTATGTCATTCAATAGAGCAATCATTTTCAGGTTTCTGGAAAGATTGCTCGATGGTCTGTTGATATGTCAACAACATTTCACCATTCTTATCACCATTTCATTCGTGAAGGACGCAGCGTGTTTTTTTATTAAATGCTTTCTTTTCGTTAGTTCTTGTAGATTCCTAAATTCTTCTTCTAAAGCCTTTCTACTTTGAGTTATCTTAAAATTTATCGACCTCAAAATGCAGTTTATCACTACTACATCATCTCTTCCAGTTGTGCGAAACCCACTGTTGATGTGCACCACTGTTCCTTTTGATTTATTGAAATATATCAAAGGATTAGACTTATTTCCGTATATGACGGCAAGGAAGGAATAATACCACTACGTAACGTTGATATTCTTCGCGTGATAGACGAATACAGTAAAACTGATCTACCTCAAACAAAAAAACCACTAGAACATGAATATGCTTTTGGACAAATAGAAAATTATGAATATGATTATGAACGTGGTTGAATGTTACAACTTGAATAAAGACGAAACATCTCAAGAAAATATGTTTATTTTCAAAATAGAAAAGGTGGTCTTCATCTTATTATCTATATTTAAACTGTTCACCTAAAACCATGAATCAACAATTATAATACTTCTTAGTCTTCTCTACATCAGTTGGAGTGAGTCGCACATTCATGTTACGAATGTCATGTCCTGAATATTCTGGTACCATCGATGGCTGACCATTTTTGGAATAAGAATAATCAGGATAATGCATAATGGAATAATAATCGTATACCATTCCTAGTGTGGTAAATTGATTAGAATTGTACATTTCAAACGCGTAGTAGAATTCTAAAAGGACAAGTTAGAGAAAAAAATAATAATTAATTAAAAATTTGGTATTGGGTTAATTGGTAATTTGGTAATTAAAAATTTGGTACTACAAGTGATTATCCATGCTCACGAGGGAACCTCTTGAGGTTATAAATCGCTTTTGAACTCGGACTACTTGTATCTTGTAGACCTCAGTGAGTAGTGAAATACC